GAGCAAAGATCGTAATAATTATCATGAAAATCCATGCATCGCATTACGTACATTTGTATTAAAACAACTTTTACATTTACAAAGAGACAAATTTCACATAAAACTCAATCATAAAGGTACTATTTTCTAATAATTTGTTAAATTCTCAAAGCTATTTAATCATGAAATACAACACACCTTCGGTTTTCGTAACTGAATTCAATTTTTTTATAATATATCATTCTTATTTACAAAGCCGCAGGCTGGATTAGTATCAATAAATTGTCTTCGTAAGTAATTTGTAAATATTGTTCATCTGAATGTTTTTATGTTCTTCCCGTGTACGCTTACGCCGAAGAATGTTTTGTTCCAATAAATCGTTTTTTATATTCGTATTATTCCGAAGCCTAAGCGGTTAGTTCTTGCCTAAAGTTAGGCGATATGGGTTACCACAGCCTTGAATACGTAAATATACATCCAGAGAACGAGAATAAATATGACTTTGTTAGTTCTAACTTCGTTTTTATAAAGATATTTCAATAGTATCTGGCTGCCCACGGTAAATTAGCTATTTTTTATGGCGCGGTATACAATCTCGTACAATGACCCGTAAATTTGACTTTCGATAAGCGTCGTAATCGCGAGATTGGCGAATGATTTACTCAAGCCTCCGACTTCCTTTGTTATTTCGGTTTTTAAATGTATTATTTAAATTTCTTAAATTAGGTATTCAACGGTTGCGGAAACGGTTTCGTTACATGTATTTTTCTAAAACGGGAAAAACTGTGAAACTTTATCTATTTTTAGTTTTTTTTAACCCTCATGTAACTTGGCAGCTACTAATAAATTATTTGTGTTATTTCTTTTTTTTTATATTTATCGTATCTCGGTACAGGGGTGGAATGAATTTACTTTTTATTTGACATATTAAGGATCTCTGTCCCAAAAGTTCAGTTCAGTTTGAAATAACCTAAGACGCAGTATATAACTAACCGCTTGGCTACGGATTACATTATGTACTATGCATTACATCTGTGCTCGGCTTGCGCTTTTTTATTTGTTTCGTGTATCAAACCTGTATTTATATACCGTGGGTGTATACTGACGAAACATAAAAACAAAAACATTTGCAATGTTTGCGCCAGTGACAACCCACGGTTGGTTTCGCTTCATTAATGTTTTTGTTTTTTCTTGGCAGCTGAGAAGGTTTCGGGCACCGTCAAATGGTTTAATGTCAAGAGCGGATATGGTTTCATCAACAGGTAAGGCTTTTATTATACTACTAGCTTGCGCTCGCGACTCCGTCCGCGCGGCATAAACAAAAACAAAAGCTAGTAAGCTATGTGTTCTTTCACACTATCCTCTAGATCTATGCCAAATTTCATCGAGATCCCTTTAGCCGTTTAGGCTACAAACTCTAACATTCATCTAATCCATCCACCTATCCATCTAAACTTTCGCATTTATAATATTAGTAAGATGGTAATTTATTAATAAGATCCAATTTTTTTAAGAACTTGTTTAATAGAAAATAGTCTTTGCTAACTATTTGAAGTACTTTTACTTTTTTTTTAATTTAAATAAAGCGATAGAATAAAAAGTAATGAATAGACAACTTATGGTTAATGTTTTTGTACGAGTCCATAAAGTGTTTAGTTTTGCAATGTGACAAGAAAATATGTTTTGGTATTGTATAACATCGCACGAGTCGATCGGAACACATTTTTTAGGTATGTTGGAGGGGGGGGGG